AAATCTCAACCATTTACCTTCATGCATACGTACGTACGTACATTGCTGAATAAAAAAATATATTATTTTTAAGTACAAAATCAATTTATGTCAAGCTTTAGTTTTTTGTTCTCTTTTCTTTTTTTTTTTTTTAAACGTTTTTCTTTTTTGTTGTTTGCCCGTGTTGTCAGCCTATTCAATGATTAACAACTTATTTAAATTTTATATTAAATTGGAATTCTTAGACATCATACTACAAACAAATAAGACGGTATCATTTGGATTGAATGTCCAGTGAGTAACGGTATAACAATTGGATTAATGCGTTTGTTACATAGGGCAAGATTTTTGAAAACATGCACGTACTGGTTTGATTCTTAAGATAACTTAATACGTGCGCTTAATGGTTCAGTTAGTCACTTTTCTCAAGGTTATAGAATTTAACAAGGAAAGCGATTTCAAAAATCTTAATTAATTTTCATAAGGTTAGGGGGGCTGAAGCGAACTCAAAAACAACTTACATTTTTGCAATATTTTCCCTCGATTATATATTAGAGTTATAGTATTCTTTTACATGATGAGAGTACTGGAAAAGTTTGACTGAATGACATACGAAAGTCCGATTTTCTTATATTCATCTCAAGTAATGAGTTTCCGGCGAATAAGGTCAACTTTTCATATCTATCTAACACCTCAGCAATCGTAAAGGATGACAAGTTCATTTGAACATTTCCATACCAAGACCCTTAACGATCACATCACTGGGCAACATTTACTGTACGATCAATGAGTAAGTTATCGATGAGAATAGGATCAGGGATTCTTGTATTCTTTATGGCAACGTTTATCGCAAGATTTCCATTCATAAGCGCGTACTCTACATACGAACTGTTTTTGCATTGCAATCAACTTTGCATTCTTGTTTTGACTGCAGAAGTAGCGCAGCATTGCGCTAACGGACTTGAAATCGATTTGAATTCTTAAGCTGATCAGGAAAATCCTTAATCTCTTATCACTACATACAAAGCGTTACAAAACTCTCGATAAATCTAGTACATCCTTATCGTATGATGGATACAAAAAAAAAAAAAAAATTTTAAAAGAGCAAAAAATCCTACACCCACCGCATTTGTCCTTAACGCGCGAACAATTTAAATTTCAAATATTGCTCCATTAACTCTGAAGGTTGTCAAACGTCACACAAATTTTAAATTTTGTTGTTATTATTCGCAAGTCTAGCGGTAGATAGGCGTGTGTGAATAATTGGGCTCTGATTTGCGCTTGATTATTATAAAACACATACATTACTATATAAAATTAAACAGAAACAAGAAATGCCGATCTCTTTCATACTTTCTGTCACTCAGTCAGTCAGGCAGACAGGCAATGAGTCAATCGTTGGCACCGCATAGGTGGGTGGGGTGTTATATTATAACACATAGTTGCGGTTAAAGCTTAAATTACATTTATTTTTGCATTTATTTTTTTTTTAATTTTTTTTTTTTATTTGTTTGTTTGTTTATACTTTATCGCCCACTGACAAAAAGACAACAATTGTTTACATTGTTACGTTATATTTATGTTGTTAGTCTTAAATTTTGCAATTTGTAACGAAACAAAAATAAAAAAAGACACAAAACAGTTTAAAAATTAAACTTAGTTTAAGTCGAATTTGTGAAAACCTATTTATCTCTCATTGAAAAAACATTATCTATACAACAATATAAATAACATAAGTTATATATATGTGTATAACATGCATTTATAGGGAATGTTTACCAAACTTCAGGCTTCAGATTCATTCTTATCCGTGAAAATATATCCAATTAATATAAGGAGATAACATGAACTTATAACAACAAAACCGAAAATTTACACAACATCGGCAGCTATCTTCAAACGAACAGAATTTAATATCAAATTGTTTGCATTAGAAGTGAATGAATTTGTTTAAAAAGCTCGCATATTGCGGAGACACGCGTTACGATCATTTGGCTGACTTAAGTTATGGTATATAAGTAACAGGAAAAATACACTTAAGGATTTATGATACCCACTTCGCCAAGCTCGTGTGCTGCTAACGGCGAATGTTGTTCTACAACAATCGGTGTCTTTCCTCTTCCAAAGTTTCAATTACTCTGCCAGTTATGAAAAATTTCAAATCGATATCTGTTGCAATTTGTAGGTACTAGGAAATAGGTAGGTAGGAACTACCTACTGGATTTTCTGATCTATTCCGGTATAAAGGCTTCTGACCAACATTTCCGAATGTTGTAAGTAGCTTGACAAAGTTGACATGCTTTGCAATCTATGGGTGCAGAATTTTAAAAAAAATTTACAATTCCGAATATGACTTATTTAGGCGCCTAACATCATAGGATGGCATAAACCGAAAAATAAACATATATATTGTAGATGAGTTTAACGTTTCAAATCAATTTAGCCATCCTTCTCCGTTTTTCCGCTTGACCCGTAAAATTTGAGCAATATAAAGCTAAAGATTAGCACACATATCCTTACATTAATCTTAAATGCGCGCGTAATCCGTCTACAATCGAAATATATGAAAGACTATAAGCGGATGTAGATCTAAGCATTTGCGGGGAGCGTTCAAAACCGCAGCAAAATAACGGCATCAAGACAGCTCCCAAAAAATATCTGCAACTTACGGCCTATAAATATAATATTAAGCTAAACATATTTCTTAGATTCACCTAAAAAGCTAGTGCTAGAAGGGTTGTTCTCCGCCGACTCACTGATACGCTCCTTATCAATGAAAATATTTCCCAATTTGTTCGGGAATGAAAAAGTCGCTTTAAACCGCCAATTATAGTCTTCTTAGTAGTTTTTATACCATACACGGCTTATGGTGCAGTGGATGTTAAGTTTGTGCAGATGTACGTAATAACCAAAAGTACTTTAGGCAGACCAACCTTCTGCTATGCTAATTGATTCAGAATCATTTTCTCAAGCAATTAATGAATGTCTGTCTCTCTGTCCATTCTCTTCAACCTAGAAATTGTAACTGTGGAAATATTTGTTCTGTTCCCAGGACGAATCCTATTGAAAATGAATTGGATCGGACAGTTCTCGCGGAAAGTCCACACGCAACGGCATGCGTTGAGGAAAACGTTTTATGCAAAAAAATTTGTGATTCTCAAAATTTGTCGGCAAACATCGCTGAGTAACGGTATTTCGGTATATTAAATTGATGCGAAGAATTTGTCTCCAATGGACTGGTCCTTAAAACTCCTTCTTATATAAGCGTTCTTATCAAGACTACGATTTTTTTGTGGCAAAAAAGAGTAATTTTTGAAATTTCATAACAAAAATTGATCTTACATTATAAATCTAATTTTAAAAAAAAAACACACTTTTACTAACACTAAACCTCTCAGACTATACTATATATATATATATAGACACGTTGAAAGTACGAATCTATTATTTAAAAAAAAAAAAAAAACATACGTATGCGACATTTTTTCATTCAATCAAAAGTAATAGGAGCACAAGTGTTATTCGCTTAGTCCATCCTAACTCAAAATTGAAAAAAATTGGATTCTGGAATAAGCTAAAAGCTTGAAAAACATTTCCTACATTTTCCAAAATCACTTCGAGCAAGGCGGCAACGTGTCATACAAATTGATAGGTTGACCTATTTCGTTTTGCCAAAAACCAAAAAACAGTTTGGACACAAAATGAAGCTCGACATGAAGCCGAATCAATTCACTATATGGAACATAATGGCCCGAATTTCCAATTGCCAATCGTTGGTGAAGCAAAATGAAATTACAAGGTGCCATTAAAAGCGAATGCTATACGGCAGCAACGTACACAGAAAGCCGTGACCCAATTTGGATAAAGGAGTACAAAATTTCCCCAAAAACCCGGATTGGCACTATGTAAGACAATGCCTGATGCTTGAAGGGGACTTGAATAATATCTTTTATTACCAGCTGCTCTAACTTGGTCAGACGATTGCTTATGCTCTCTATTATTACCATAGAATGCAATTATAGCTGCAACGGAGATGAAACGTTCACCATTACTAGAAAGGAAACAAGTCCATCGCGACAATGCCAAAACACCAACATCTTTATTCGCTCGGCAAACGAGAGCTTGAATGGGATGTTTTGCTGCCTCCACCGTTTATCTTGGACTTTATGCCGTATAACAAACATTTATTACACTCTGTACAGTGTAAAATGCCGAGCTTTTCGTTTAAAAATCTTACGAAAGATTTCTATAAGGAAAGTCAGAAAAGCTAAACGTCAAAATGGTACGTATGGGTTAAGTTACACAAAAAAATTTGAAAAAAAAAATGCCACGAACTTTTTCCTCAATATATATTAATTATAAAATGGTCTAAAATGCAATATAGTCAGCTGTTAACTCGAAACATTTACTTTTGTTTGGTCGCTTTGTTTGCTTCTTTTTTTTTTTCTTTTAGTAACTTTGGTGACCAAACGCAAACAGTATGAGACCAAAATGAACCATAAATAAATTTCGATTTATCGCCACACAAAAGGCAACAAATTGAAATTATTTATTGATGACTGAAGCATATCTAAATTAGATTTAAACTTTAATCGACGTCACATATGCACACATACTAATAATATAAAGTAAATAAATAAAAGGTAAGAAATTTTTAAAAAAATTAAAAATATCTATAACAATAACAATAAAAAAACCAAAAATAAATTAAGCTGCCGAAGAAAACCAGAATATGAAGCAGAGAGTTAGAAATCGTATACACATCCGGTCTCGAAATTCCACAACGAACGACAAGAATAACATTACATTATAAAGCAAAGCAACGTAAAAAGCAAAAAAAACAAAAAAAGAAACGAAGAAAAGAAAACTTAAACATAAGGTAAGCGGGTGAAAATTATAAGAACCAACGGCGACGAGAAGGTCGAAAGAGAGAAACTTCTTAAAAAAAAAATCAACAGAAACGAATTGAAGGACGGACGACTTAAGGACGCTAAAATATGTTGACGGCTACTACAACTACAATGGCCGTTGCTGGCAACACAAATACGAACGCAACAGCACTTAAAAGAAATCTTAGTGGCTCCATTGTTGATAATGACCATCTTGTCAATAATAATAATGACGATGCTGCTGCCAATGATGACTATGATGATGATACACAGACGCCTGCAATTGCCGCCACCACAATAACAAATGCGAATACAATTCTCGTAGAAAAATCACTGGCGACACTGGAACTTCAATATTTTAAGGCTGTCTCGCTGTATCGACGACGAAATTATGAAAAATGTGTTAAGGTGTGCAATGTTATGTTGCAAGCGGGTCACGAAAATAATGTCCAAATGTTTAACACACCACCGGATGCCGATGAGTATGAAACAGTAGAAGACCTTCAAATCAAACGAACAACAACGCCAGCCGTAACAAACGCTACCAACAATACTGGTGGCGGTGGTGGTGGTGGTGGTGGTGGTGGTGGTGGTGGCTATAGTAAAGGACTGATCAGTAATAACAGTAGCAATCGTTACAGTAGCAATTTGCAACGCATAGCCGTAAGGCAAAGGCAGTGTCAGCAACGAGGCGAACAACGAGTACAACGTAGCAACAATGTTGCAAATGCATCGGTTTCAATTTCCAATACCAACGTCGTCACATCATCAGCAAATTCATGTGCTGTGGATAGCATGCCCACATGGATGATGGAAGGCGTTTGGCAATTAAAAATGCGTGCACTTACGCAACGCGTCTATGTCGATGATTTAGAAACCAATGAAACTGACAACCCTGGTAAGTGCATATGTTTAAGCTCAAATAAATGAAGGAAAGATATGTAATCCGTACAACATACGATGGTATGTGCAAACGCCGCTTGTTACACATTTTGCAGACAAACAATTAATTAGCTTTACGGCAGTTACCCAAGCAAAGATAAACCCGAAATTGAGAATAAATGATTTCATCCGCTTTGCAGAATAATGGATAAAATTGCGTGGAATAGTGAAGCTAATAAACGAGTTATCTCAGTTGGACATTCACTTACAATTGCGTTAATCTAACTGAAAACGAGCGTTTAAGAAGATTTCTCGAACTCATCTCAACGCTTTGGACGATAAGTTAATTTATGTCAATTTTTCTTTATACGCGACAGCATTTACGGTACAATCTTATATTAAGTCTGTGCGAAAGTATGGAACAAGTGGAAGAACTTGAGATAGGTCTACCTTTTATAACACCGACTTAAGCTAGCCTGTCCGTCTGTACGTTTTGTTTTTTTTTGTGTTCAATTTACAGGCAACAATTTTTCATCTAATTCTTAATAGCGCTCGTCCTTTGGTCACAGGACGTCAGTTTAGGCAGGCAGGCAGACGGACAAACGAACGAACTGGCTTAGATAAACAATTAACGGTGGATCTGTCTTAAGCCCTTCTACGTATTGCATATGTCTGCACAAACTTAGTGTAACTTATATCCTTCCAAAGTGAAGGACGAGCTGTAAGGGTATTGCTACAGATCTATAGGTTTCGTTCAAAAAATCTTTCATTTGTTTTAATACGATTTCCTAGCATCCTAGTTGTCGTAACTATGCCCTGAATTAGTCAACGCTCATAACAAATTCTCTTCCATTCTAACAATAGAATCATTTTTTCCATTTTCGTCGGCATCTGGAGTCAACAAAATTCTCGCATAAAGATGGTGAAACAAATTCTTTGCAGATATTCAAATAATCTATAGCGGTTTTCATTGCATCTCCACTGCTGCCACGCTCCTAGCATATCCTAGATCTTATTCTTGGCATATTACTTCATTCAGCCATACCGACCTAAAATCGACGCATTTCTTGTCTTCAATCTTGAAAAAATCTTGATAAAAACGCATTAGTTATCTTCGTCCTGACCTTTATCCGTTCATACTACATGCTGGATAAGTTCGCTTAGTGCAGCATGAAATTGATGAAATGGTTGCTAACTTCAACTTTTAGGTGGATATCTTGGACAATTTCTTCCATGAGTTGAAGGTTAATAACGAATATTTTCAAACTTAGTTGATATTCTATAAACAAATCATACAAATAGACCTGGCCAAAGGCATTGAAAATCTTAATCTGATTAAGAATCTGCATCCTTCATAGTCCACATATTTCTAGCTATTGTCACTTGAGTGTACCGTGGGAACCTGCCTTGAGATAACTAATTTGAACGGCGCCCTATAGCACACAGATCAAATATAACGCCTTAATCAACGCCTACATCATTTAGAGGGCTTCACTATTCTTAAGGTGCAGGAACGAGAGTATAAACCTTTACTTTTTTCACGTCGGGACGAGATCTACTTAACATCTCAATAACTGAAACTCTTACGATTTTCGGATAACGAAATCAGCACAAAATTGCATTAAGTTCCTAATTTTTACGGCAGAGCAAAATCGAAGGGAAAATCCTTGTGAGGCGGAAACACTCGCACCATTTTACAATTATTAGGCGGTCCGGAAATTTGTTGCGGTTTTCCATTGTGAAATAAAGTAATTTTTTTTTCATGTAAGGAAAAATCTTGCTCTTTTGGATGAATTGACATTGTCTGCAATCTCCCGAATCGTTACGAGTCTTTGGGCGGCAATCGTGACCATTACTTGGTCGCCATCAATGGCTTTTTGCCTGCCAGAACATGGTAAAGCTTTCACTAAAAATTTCTAGAACGAAATTTCAGTAACCAATTTTTGCAAATGCGTTCTGCTGCAGCATTAGATCCGTAAGCAGCACATATTTCTCCCTGCAGCTCTTTTGTGAAATAAAAAAGTATAATATGTTACGTGCGCTCGCATTGATCTTCCTCGTCTTAACTATGTGTCACTACTATAACCCAACCGATCATATCGAAAGTGTTTTAGAAGACAAACTTAAACCTGCTCTGCATGACTATGTATGCTCTTAACCCTGCTTATCTGTCCAGTTGCTTGAAAAATGTTATTTTAATATGGTGTCGGGAAAAACGGCAAGAACTTCCCGGATTACCTAATGTTTTGTAAATCTAACAATTTAGGTTGCTTAGCCTATAGCTACAATAATATATAAATCTTCCTCGATCACGTACCCCGTAGATTTTTTCACGGCCGCACGCTTGGCTGCTTACTGCTCCTTAGGTCCGCAATAAACTGATCATCCTAATCACTTGATCGTAAAGACCTCCATTGTGCCGTGACTATGAAGAAAAGCAGCTTTTTTGGAAAGAAAGGTGACTTCTCGCCACACTTTCTTTGCCTTCGCTATGGGAATTTTCTCATTCCCAGCAACCTTTAATTGCTCTATAGGTTAAATTCAAAATACAATCCTATAGTGAAAAAGGAAAGCCATTAGACACTAAATAGCAAAATCAGACTTTAATGGTGGTACGATGGCAAAAAAAGAGTTGACCATCAAATTTTTGCAGGCTCAATACTTTCCAGAAGTTATCTACCACTCTTTAATTTAAATCAGAGCAGATTTCATACAGTAATACGAATACTCGTAAAGATAAAGGTAACGCAAGATTATCGATAATTCACGATCTCAAACATGAAAATCCACAACATTGTAATCTTAAGCCGACTTACATACATACATACGCTGCGTTTATATTGTACGAAGAATTTGTAACTGAAAAGCGATTCTAATGTAAACTTATGACCGTAAATATCACTTAGAGCAGTGTTAACTTTAAGAATTTATGATGGAAATCATCAAAATATGATAAAAAAAAAAGCATAAGATAAATGAAAAAAAAAAAAAAAACGAAGAAATCTTTGAACAAAAGAATAAAAGGCTTGTGAATAAATTGTTAAAGTTACGATGTAAATTCTTTTCTTGTGTACTCTTGACCACAGCAGCAGAAAACCGCAAAATGACATGATGGTCTTACAAATACACAATCATATATATATATACAGCTAAATAATATAAGATAGCGTAAGATATGAGCATACAAAAGCACACACACACACATTCGTATGCAGTAACAGCAAACGTAATCTTAAAGCACATTTCTTTTTTTTTTTTTCTTTTTTTTTCTTTTTTTTTTTTAATTATGATGATCAACATAAACCTTAACCTTAAAAAGAATTTAATCCAATATTATGACCGACATTCCATGCCTGCATGCATTACAACAACAAAATACACTAAACACTGCTTTTGACCACATTACAACAACCGCCGCCCAACATAATAGTTGGTTGTTATGTAGCTCAGCAGTTCGGGGTGTAGAGGTTTACGTACGAACATAAATTTGTAATATATTCACGCATACATGCACATATACACACACATGTATACATTGGCAAAATAAATGCAGTTTTCAAGACCTTTCTTCTGCTTCGTTACTTACCACTGCTGCCAATGCATTAAATTCTGCTCTCTGTGCACAATGGTGTACTGCCCACATTCCATTGTGTTCAATCACCTTGAGTGTGGAGTGGATAACTATTTTGTTGTTATTATTGCAGTTATGTTGAATTTTCTTCTTTTTTTTTTTTTTTTGAGCGAATTTCTTCCTTTTTTTTTTTTTGAATTTTCGTTGTTTTTACGATTACACCAGCCACAGGATAGTAAGCTATTAGGTTTATTGTTAAGTTTGTAACGTCAAGAGTTAAGCACACTTACGTTGTAAATTCATTTTTCCCTCGCTCCGAAAACTTGTCTATTGTCTGCTCAATTAACTCCGGCTTTAACTAAATATTCAATTAACCGAAAAGATGACTGATGAAAATTTCCTTAGTTATTGTTGAACTCAACTTCACTCTAACCTTAAAAGCTGTAAATAAGAAGTGAACCTTGAAAATTAGTAATAACATTATAGCTAGACGAGGTTGACCGTACACTACAATGCCTATCGTTCACTCGTTTAGTTAATAATACATCAGAAATTACACATTATTTTTTTTCGAAAGCGTACTTTTCATAAAAGGTCGCATATCGGAGGATGGCCAAGATATCATATGACATGATCCAAATTTATCAAATTTAATTTACTTCCCAAAAATTTTGCCATTAAACTGAAAATTATACTTTCTCTCCATATAAGGTCTTGCTTATAGTCGTCATATGTATGTTAGGTTCTAAAAAATAGACCTATATGATCCAAATTCCCAAGTACTATTGTTCCTAAATTGCTAATATGGACCAATTTTCATCATAAAATAAGACATATTAAATCCTTTTCTGAAAAGGTTATTGTTCATGCGAAATCTTATATGGAGTGGGTTTCAAGAGATAGACCCATTCATTTTTACGTCAAATTACACCCATGAACCAATTTTAGTTAGGGTTTTTTGCTCTACATTTCAAGAGAATGGGGTATGGGTATAGCCTCAAATTGGGTAAGGTTGTGTTCTATGTCAATTTACTGTAATGAACCGATTTACACCATGAAATATTGAATATTATACCTTTTTAACGTGCAAAGATTCCATTTTCATAGGAACGGTTTTATAAGAGGGGGTTAAAAATGTTGGCCGAGTCGAATAAAATTCTTCTTACTAATTTAGGATAGCAAACTGCTATTACTCAGCGATTTTTGAAGAGAAATTTCAAGTTACTTCCTTATGACGACTTTTCGGTCGATATCGTTTAAGAAAATGATTCTGAAACCATCGGTATAACAAAAGAACTGTCTACTTTAAGCCTGCCGTAGATCCACACAAACTTAATATACCCCTTACAACTAGTGGTGTAGCATTGTTTTCTATTTGATTTTCCTAAACGAAGAAATGAACCTAGTGTGCCCTGGGAAGCCAAACGGAATATAAAATGCTACCGTGACGTATATAAAAGTTAGGTAGATTACCGAACGTATCCCTTTACTCAATTTTCCTTCGTATCCTTTTTACCAACTCTTTTATCCCTTTGCAAGCGATGCTCTTTTTCTTTGTAATGTGTCTTGAAATAGCCGAAGACTTAACTAAAGAGAAGAAAGGAAGAGAGCGTCACGTGTTAAAGTCTGACCAATGCTTCGATAGACCTCCAAGTGAGAATTTAGTTAGATTGATCCGTGAAACTGAAAATTCAAAATATTGACATTGCTTTCCCATAGTCAAGAAACAGCTTTCTCTCTCTCTCTATCTCTCTCCGAGCATATCGGCAAGTACAGGCGAGCATGAACTGACCGACACCCTCACCGAAGTAAATTCTTATTTAGTATAGAAAAAATTAGTTTTTCATGAATCGAGTTGAATTTTTTAATAATCTTTCATTATTGAATTATGGATTTAGAAGAAAGATTAGTTCATTCACATTGTGCAGACCATGCGCATATTTTCTCGTTAGCGAAACTTTGAAATGCTGTAAAATTCACTGCTATAAGCCTTTATGAACTATAATATAAGTCTACAACAAAAGACTTAAGTAAAAAACAATATTCTCATTTCATGTCAGTTAACGAAGAAATCGAATTTGAACGCATCGCTACCGCGGCTAGACCGAATACTTCAATTAACCAAGCTTTTGTTCCACGTCCCAGTAGTAGCGTACTAAGAGCTGCGCAAAGCGCAAAGATCGACTTAAATGAAAATGTGGGAATGAAAGCGAATACCGCCGGAGAGCAAATTCGTAATATGACAACAAATTTAATAACCAGGCCACTGTCAGGCATGGTAAAGTAACAATGCAATTAATTTTTCTTTTAAGAAAGCTTTATTTAACTCTTAAACTATACTTGTAGACACGTCCTGGCAGTAGGTGCCTGAGCCAATCTGGTACTTCGTTCGATAGCCGGCCATCATCGCGATGTGGTAGTGCTTCTCGTATCAGAGCAACCTCGGCGGCTGCTTTTTTCGTTGGTGATAACACTTCTGTCTTGTATCAGGCTTCGCGTCTAAATCCCACCATTTACGCTGAACGCAAAGTTTTAGTTAAAGCTCTTTTTCAATTCCTCTATTATCACGAGAGCGACGTTCCGAAGGCTTACTCGCTTGCCGAGGCTGTTATGGAATCTATGCATAAGAGAAAGAACGGCTCTTCAATTTCGATTCGCTCATTGATGAATTGTGACGAATGGTGGTGGCAACAACAAATGGGTCGTTGTTTATTGGCTATGCATTATACTCGTAAAGCAGAAACCCATCTTCATCATTCATTAAATTTATTTCCGCATCCCGATACTTATTTACTGTTATCAAGAGTTTACCAGCGTTTAAAACAACCGCAACGTGCTATGGATTTAATACAAAAAGCAGTGGATCGGCATCCATTTGATATTAGTTTCCGCTTGGAGCAGGGTCGTCTATTAGATTATATGGGAAAACAAGAGGAAGGCGTGCAAATGTATCGTTTAATATCACGTTTAAATCCTATAAATGTTGAGGCCTTAGCCTGCATAGCATTAAATTACTTCTATGATAATAACCCAGAAATGGCTCTAATGTATTATAGGTAAGTATTTCATGCTAGCACTACATACATATTATATAAATTTGACCACATAACTTTTCTTGAGTAATAGCCCTATATAGAATTTTCCTTTCAAATTTCCAAGCGTTACTACAAGAATGCCTGTGCCAAAGGAATGTCTGCCGAGAACTTGCGGCCCAAAGTCTTGTCTGTTGACTTCTAGTCCTTCTAATTCCATTGATGGGTTCTTTGGAAGGTCTTTGTATTCATTTAAAAGCTTTCCCAAGAAAAATATCTAAATATAGCTTTATCAAGATGATATTTGAGTAGACGTGCTTCTCTCAATGCTTCTATCAAGAAAGTCAAAGTATACAACGGGACATTTTTTTTTATCCCTTACCTTTCAATCAAATAGCATAGGTAGTAATCGTCTTATTCCGCGCAATCTTTGATTGGGGTTTGTATGCAATAATTTACTTCTATTCAGCACTTTATCATATCGCCCCAAAAATTCGTCAAGGAGTCCTCTTATCACAATCTTTCAATTCTTCACTTATAGCCATAATTATTATTATCGTCCGTTGGCATTGTCGTAGGCTAAGAAACACGAACATTGATAAACGCACTAGGTTCATTTATTCATTAGATCAAAAAAAAATAATTACAATTTCACATCCCTACGTAATAAAATGATTCTGATGTAATTGCCTTATGCTTTGAATTCCGTTGAGAAGAGTTGTACCTTTTTTTAAAACCATCACCGAAGGATGAGCGGTATATGCATTTTGTCAAAACTTTTGTAACGTCCAGAATGAAGCATCAGAGATTCCACATAGTATATGTATTCTTGATGAGTATCAAATTTAAGCATGTCCGTCTGTCCGTTTGTGTAATGCGTGTTGTAAACATTCTCCTGAGCGTAAAAATGAATTTATCCTCTTCAAATTTGGCAGAAACATTGCACCCAGGTTGGTATTGGAAATGGGTCAAATCGGTCCAAAGACTCGACTCCAGCACCACCTAAACTGAGAACAACTCTGTTTTTCCAAAGGAATGAAAACTTGGTTTGTTGCTCATTACTCGTAAACTACAGCAAAGATTTGATCGCATATTCGTTGGGCGATTTTGTACCATTTGTGCACAAAAGTGGAAAAAATTGACCACGCCTCCTTGATATTATAGTATATCAAAATTTACTTGTTTTTTCGATAGGTTTATAACACGCAGAAATAAACCCTTCAAAATTCCCATAAAGTTTGCAAATTCTTGGCCAGTTTCAAATTCCTGTCTGTCCATCTGTCTTTTTGCGCAACTTGTAGTATTTCTCCCGTTAGCGAAAATGAAGATATCACCTACAAATTTGCAAAAGAATTTGGAATTGACTTGAACTTTTCAATGGACACCCACAAGGCCTGCAACGTCCACATATCTATACGACAAAAACTTTTATTTTGAAAATAGAAAGAAACAGCTGCGCCCACTCCATATTATAGAGCATGAAAATTTTGTAGCTTTACTTTCTTTGTCGTTTTTAAGGTAACGGTGATGGGTATGAAAAATTCGGACCCGACCGAATTTCATTTTCGTACTTGCTGTTTTTTTTTTTTTAACTAAATATATAATTTTAGACGAATTCTCTCGTTGGGCATCCACTCGGCTGAACTATATTGTAATATTGCTTTGTGCTGTTTGTATGGCGGTCAGATTGATTTGGTATTGCCATGTTTTCAAAGGGCTTTAGCTTCTGCTGAGACTGCTGATCAAAAAGCTGATATCTGGTATAATTTAAGCTTTGTAGCCATAGTAAGTATATGAATTTACTTACGAATTAAAAGTGTAGGTTTATTTTTAAAAACTATGTTTTTTCAGACCACTGGCGATTTTCATTTAGCTAAACGTTGCTTAAAATTGTGCCTAACTTCAGACGCACAGAATGGTGCAGCCCTTAACAATTTAGCTGTGCTGACTGCTCAAATGGGCGACATATTAAAAGCTAAATCTTACCTGACCGCGGCAAAGGAAAGTCTACATAATTCCCAAGAAATTGAGAATAATTTGAAATATATGGAAGAACATTATAAACTATAGAAAAAATGTAAAATGTTTTTAACGAAGTCATCCCTTTTCGTTTTCGACGACGGTGACAATCCGATATATTTTTGGGCTATTCAATTTGGCTCTGCACTTAATCCACCATAGAGAGCATTATTAGTATGCATGTGTGCCGTTTGCAAGGATGGGAATCTTAAATTCTTAAGAAGGACTTAAAAAGAACACCTTTTTTATGCCCTCCAAATATAGTTAGTCAACTAAAATGGCCCTGTATAGTGCGTGTTGGCTTGCATAGATGAAAAGCCTCAAAAGGCTAATCTAGAGCGACCAAATCCCGCAGTGCGCTCCACTTCCAGGAATTTTCGTTCGAGGGAATTTAAGAGTCCGGCTTTAATGTACGCTTTTATTCACCTTCAAGTAAATCAGACTCTGACTCTGAAGTCAGAAATTTGCTGCATAACTATGTTTCTCTCTTACTCTATTTGATTTCTCTTTTGTTCATTCAATTGTTCTTGCCATTACATTCGACCCGATCAGCTATCGTTTACATTGCTATAATTCAATGCTATAGTTCAATAATAAAGTGTCGTCTTTCGCCAAGGAAACCTTTATGGATACTTCAATCACTTTACGCAACTCGAGTATAATCACACAGTGGTAATTAGAAAGTAAGAGTTTGTCGCCTCTGAACAGGTGAATAAATGTTTTAAGTGCGCAACTTGTCGTTGTGTGCCGAACTTGAACATGAGATTCGGCAATGCAATACGCGTACGCTGCAGTGCAACAGTTCAATGAATATTTTCACTTTTTTTTTTTATATAGTTCGTTATTCACTATACCCGCTTTCACCAATCCCCAGTACCCAGATTAGCTTTAACTTAACTTCGGCTGCGTTATTCTTTGTTTCAATTTTTAAAAATCGCTCTTTATTTTCTTCTTTGAGACTGAGATTGAGAAAGTGAATTGAGGAACTGCACCGGGTTGGTGGAGCTTTGATTTTAAGAATATACGATAGCTTGCAGTTTATTAACTGCTTCATAGATATACGAACATTTTCCTTCCCTAAACAAATGAAACAACCCTATTCAATGCGAATGAGTTACCAAATCTTGGTTACGTAGCAAATTTTTGTGCAATGCTTCTAAGCTGCCGTGTGGTCTTTGCGGTTAGGACTGCCAGCTGTCAGAATGAAGGCCCAGGTTCGACTCCTGGTGCGGCAGACCGAGCACCAAATTGTACTTTGCTTTCGACATAGTTTCCCGTTCGGATGAAAGCATACTGGTCTACTACGTCCTAAGGAGTATCATTGTTTGGTACAAAGAGGATTGATCCCTCACCTAAACATGTCTTGCAACGTTTAAAAATAAAACTAAATGTCGCTTCATGCATTTTTTACACAATTATATTTACAACTGCCCGTTTATCTTATTTATATATATTTGATTCTTCAAAATGTTTTTTTTTTTTGCGATTGTGTCTTTTTTTTTTATTTTATTTTCCAAGCCAAAGGAAATGATAATATAATAGCTAGATGTTTAGTGTATAGTTTAGTTCACTTCTAGTTCACTTAATTCTTCTACTTGTTGTCAGACGACTTCAACTTTTTACATAGAGTTCACTTCGTTATCGAGAATTGGATTATTACACTTTACAGTATTGTTACAAGCCCCTGTACTTTCGTTATTCCATTTTCTCAAGCCGAAACTCCTCGCCCTACTATCAATAAATTTAGAAGCATTTTTCCTAACTGCTTTCGTTGGCACAGTCGAATGTTGCTATGTTTTTTCATTACCTATAAATCAATTTTTCTTGGCATCCAAATATTCTGCAAATATAAAAGATGATTTCAAGCTGCTCTGTTTGGATCATTTTACAAGTACTTGCTTATGCCAATAATTATTACACGTTGACACCGTAGATAACTAGTACTCTCACTAACGATGCCGTGTTTTTTTTTCTTAAAGATTCCTATAGAATAAAAAATGTCGCTTTAACAAACGAATCGCCCCATAACTCTATATCACTACTTACATCATAATTTCCAGCTAGACGACCTCTCTTTCTGGACAATCTCACAATGTATTATGTCGCTGTATTCCGCTAAGGAAAAAAAAAAATTTATAAATATTTAATATTTTTACATAATTATTCAGATAACATATTTTGGGACGAGTTAGATTATTTTCTGCAAAGATCTCAAAGCATTTTTACACCCACCACCGAAAGATAGGAGCTTATTCATTTTATCGAAACTTGTGCAACGCTCCAAAAGCAACCTCAGGGACCACATGAAGTGGAAATATTCTCGATCAGCATCAAAATTCGATATCCGTCTGTCCATCTCTCCGTCTGCCGTAAAAATTCTCCTGGCCGTAAAAAAGGACCTATTGGCTATAATGTTGACAGAAACATTGCCACTTGTGCACAAAGGTTGGCAATGAAAATGCACCGAAGCTGTAGAAGAACTACTAAGAAAGTACTACAGTAAACTGAAAACGCTTCTGATTTTAAAACCCAAATAAAATTGATCTTTTGCTCGTTGCTACACGCAAACTACAGCAGATATAAAAATATTCACTTGCATTCTATGGGGCATTGTACAGTATCTGAAGAAAAGGGTTAAAAAACGACTCTAGCTGGAACTTTTGAAAGGAAACAAAAAGGAGCTAGCAAAAGCAACCAAATAAAAGAAATATAACTTGCCTAGATTTCCTAATCTGCTATATAAGTCAAACAATTGCGTTCTTACAATATATAAAAGCAAATTAAATGAAAGAGTGGCTGCTCCAAATCTAAAGCATAAATAAATAAAAGCAATAAAAAAGTTTCACCCGAATCTGTTGAATTTTATAATAGTACAAAAATTTGAAGTTCATATGGCCAATCAAATGGCCAGAAATTATACAGTAAAAGCTAGTTCTCGTAGATGGCATCTGCAAATATTTTGGAATGTTTTAGAGTTGGCTGCTATAAGTGGATAATGGATCCTTTACAACGAAACGATACGAATAAAAATTCAACAATCCAATATATAAATGCAAAACACAAAATTTTACCAGAACCTGAAGACCTACAAAGGTCAGCCTCAATATCATCAAATGGAAACAAAAACATAAAGCACTTTTGCCTTGTTTCCCAAATGCAGTAAGTTGTCTTTATTATTTAATATTTACTAATATCATATTATATAACAACTATTAACAACAAAAATTAATTTGAAATAAATTAATTAACACATTAATTATTCTTTCACAAAGCAGGCATCTTGACCGCTTTCGGGCAGTAGAGATATATGCTAAGTTTCAGTTTTTCTGGTGTTAAAAGAAGTAGGAAGCAATCAACAGCAAGATACGTAGCTAAGCCTTATGATGTTTGTGAACTCTTCGAAGAACTTGTAACTGAGAAATGACAAAGATTTGTTTCTTTGGTTATTAGCCCCTCTCAACATGGGTTTATTGTATAAAATAATATATTTTTACGCTAACCTTAGTCATCAGAATATTGATTTTATTATTTTGATTCTAATATCGCAGGTTCAGCTAAAATCTTTGAGCAAAAGCAAAATCTTTCCGTATGAATTTCATTAGAAAAGTATCCCCCTTTTGTTGCAATGATGTGTTTTATTTAGTTTTAAGTAAATTTGCTTAATTTACCAGACATGAAGTAAGCGCATCTTTGCTATCTTTGTTCTAATCTATCAGTATCTATCAGGAAAACTTGCTCTTACGGTGCAAAGTGCCTCCCTACAATAAATTTAAATAGCTTAACCATAAATTTGTGTATGCATGTCTTACCTCTGAAATGTGTTTCATCTTCTGAGGCAAGATCAATTCATTTGCAGATGATTGCTATTATTGTGCCTTTGGAGGCGGTGGTGTAATCTCAGCCGATGGATATTTTTTAACGAAAAGCCAACGTTTCTCTATCGCACATAGCGAGGGTATTCACCCATCTGTAAAACACATATATCTGCCGCTAAATCTTGAGGTTCGTTAATCCTTAGTTGCTGTTTTGAATAATATTTGCCTTTGCTCTTATTTCTTAGACACTTTTTCAATGTAGCCTTTGAGTAATCCCTCCTGTATTTAAATCCGTTCTTGCCTGCTACTTTTAAAATTAATTTATTTCGGCCTCAAAATTCATTTTATTATAGGTGGACATTCGTCAGTTAAGCAGAGCTGCCAACATTAAACAATATTTTCCCCTAATGTATGAACCAAAAAGGGTAAAGCAAATTTGCTACTAATAGTGTGCATATAGTAAGAATGATTAGAAATTCAAAACGATTATTGAAATTGAAGTAATTTCAAAAATATATTATAAATATAATTTAAATAGCAAGAATAATAAACAAGAAACACAATTTGTTGTGCTCGCTACTTACTTCTTACTACTTTGTTCTAGATTTGCCAGTTAAAATCGCACAATGCAATTGAATTAAATTATTGTAGCTTTAATCTTGATAAGCTGCAGAAAATAACATAAATATAAATAAAGACATTAAAAATAGTAGTTAAATCACTTACGTTTATTTCGTTTACGTTCATATTTTTGGAATGTTGCTGCAGTCGCTGATCCAACTGATCTTGTCTCCATTCTGTTATTTTCAATTAAGCCTTTAGATATGTTGGGAAAGGGGAATATGCAATTTTTTAAAATAATTTGCTACGACTAGGGCCATTTCCATTGAAGTGAATTCTTTTTAGGTATAAAAAGAAACAAAAAGATAAAATACGTGAATTAAATCGTCAGCGTAAAGAACGTTTAAAGTGTTCGGAACGCAAAGAGTCGTCGAAACGGATGGAAGATGAACGTTTTAAAGTCATAGGTGCAAAAAAATTTCAAATCGCAAAAAAGAAATAGAAATCCAAGGTAAGTGAAAAGTCCCCAAGTGAAATTAAAAAGCCCAAAAGAATCGATAAACATTTTCAAATGTCTTCGAACCAAAATGATAATAAAACCACATCAGTTAAAAATAGCAAATAAATAAAAACTTCTTAAAGATGAAAATTTTGAATAAAAATATGTTATTCAAAATTTTTACTTATTTCTCTTGTTCTCCTCGTCTTTGTTATCATTTTAATAATTTTTATTTGAATTTACGGTAATTAAAATTTAATTTGTTTTGTTTTTTAATGTGTTGTAATCGTAATTTACTGTTCAAAGTAACTCCCAATTGTTAATTAAAATTTTATTTTCAATAATCTTAAGTGAGTAAATGATTTTTTTTTTTTGTGTTTATTATTAAGAATATACTCTACACCACAAAAAAGAAAAACAAGTCATCCTTCAAAAAATGGTATATTTGAACAGTGGGAGCTTCGTCCAAAATAAAGAAAATGTATGTAAAAGAGAATAAATGAACTTACCGCAATAAACAGTTGAAACAATTTTTTTCAGATATGCCTTTTTTGTCGGTCAAATAAATGACAAACGTAAATCCGTTGAAAACTCTGAGGGATAACAACAATTTCTTCACTTCAAAGACACCTTTTCTACTAATTTTACTAAAAATTCCTGTGGCATATCGAAGCGTAAATTGCATTTTAGGCATAAATCTATTTATATTCATAATTAGTACAATTATATAAAATTTACGAGTCCTTTCTTAACTGGATAATACTTTGGACGCGAGAAATAATAACTGCAAACTAACCTACAATTTGGGTCGGGATACTATTCGAAAAAGGAATTTGAAACAAACAGATGATTGAATTAAAAAGAAAATTAGATCCGCAACTTCGGGTAGATTACCGAACGTATACCTTTACTCAGTTTTCCTTCGTATCCTTTTTACCAACTCTTTCCTCCTTTTCAAGCTATGCTCTTTTTCTTTGTAATGTGTTTGACCAACGCTTCGATAGACCTCCAAATAAGAATTTAATTAGATTGAACGGTGAAACTGAAAATTGAAAATATTGTCATTTCTATACATTCTGCTCTGGCACGCTTTACTTTTGGACATTCTGCAACTGGCACCCCTTATTTCTATACATTTTTTATTTTAAGAATGGAGCCGATAGCCTGTGTTGCTAGTGCTCAATGTCTTTTCTTTAGTCTAAGAATTTATTTCATTAGTCTAAAATTATAATAATAATAATAATAATATTTTAAGAATGAAAACCTTGTTTCCTTTATAATCAAATAAAAGTATTTAGGAAGCACACATGAATGACATTTTAATATTTTCAGATTTCTATACATTACTTTACATTACATTAATGCGAAATAAAACAGAGTATGGAAAATATTTAAAAATGTACATTATCAATGTAAAATTCTACGTAGATGTGCCAAAAGTGAAATTCACAAAAATAAGAAATAAAATGTGTGCATACATGCACAAATTGATGGGAAGCCTGTACCCCAGCTATCGAAATGAAAGAAAGTTTTCTCCGAAAACACTGAGAAGGACCAATGCTGGGCCACCGGCATATGTAGTAAAGGAATAGAAACCACCAAATCGATTCCCAATAATAAAAAAAATCCCGCGCGGATGTTAGATAATGACTACTTTTTATTTACATCGTTGAATACTATCGTTAAATTTTGAATAAAAGTTCTTTTTGAAAAAGAAGTCGGCGAAAACAGACGTGAAAATGGTAAATGGCAAAGAAGTTATGTCTTTAGGTATGTTTGACGAGTCGAGAGACGACGAGGAAGCCGATAGGCGTCGACGACAGAAAAACCAGGACGCCAGGAACCGAAGCAGATGCAATCGTCGCGACCAGCACGCCGATGGGCGTATGATTCCGCAAAGACGCAGTGTTACGCGCGTCGATGTTTCAGTTTTTCATTTTAATTAAGTGTCCAAATAATGTAACCGTATATAATTTAGACACATGACCCTACTTTTACTAAAAGTAAGCCTTTATAAACGGGTTTTTCGGTACTTTCAAGTGATTAAATAGAGTTTCCAACTCGAATCATCTATTAATTTCCCACATTAGATCTCTGGCGGCACAAAGAACAAATCCGAATTATTTTTGCATTCACATGCTCCAGGTACTGGATGATATAATTTGATCATTTAACCAATGGGTTTCTTGCAAGAACGATGAATTATTGTAACATAGAAATAACATGACCCTAAAATATTCCATTGGTTTAGGTATATACAAACTTTAAAATCAATCGCCTTACTCCTTGATCACCCATTCATAATAATACTTCACAGTCATCAAAAGCTGCCGCCGAGACACCAGAATTTTCGCCTCCAGCTGCTAATATGGGTATCAGTGTGTCATATTAGCATAAGATCTGTAATGTACGTATGAGTACATTTATTTAGATATATTAGATGAATTTGTTTGTTCTAATTAATTTGTGTACTTGCGAACCTGATCAAGCTTTTGAGGAATCTCATTCCATTTCAACCATGTATCTTCGAAACATTTATACTTCAAACGCAGAACTTCTAATTCAGCTTCAGTGAATTGCCTGTTAAATATATGGTTAACAGAGGTTACGTGATTTTTCAGATAAATTTTATATCGTTATCAGTTACCAGCAATTTTTAGATAAAGACAGTTGCACAATTACTACAGTTGTACAATTACTACAAACACATTAGCCGTGTGTTGTGTTTGGAGTAAAGAAATACGAACACGTACCGACCGACATTTTCATAACTTTATCGTTCAAAATTCAGAAAGCAACTGAAAATCTCTTTCTGTTCATATTATCCGTAAGTATTGTTAAAAACTGGTGTATCTCTCTCTTATTCATGCAAGAGTATAAGAAAATTTTACAATAGCAATGCCAACAACCAAAAAAGTCTGCTCTCCGAGTAAAGAAAGTTACAACAATAATGTCAACAATCAGAAGAAATCTCGTCTTAGCAAATTTATAAATTTTGATTAAAATGCTGAGAGTGATTCATTCAACGACTGAAGTTGAATTTTTTTAAATGCATTGATCTATTTTCTGTTGTTGATTTGCTGAATAGAAGAAGAACAATTTTTAGTAATTCTTTAACTTCTTCATTATGCGAATGAATGGATTCCTGTTCATTTGTATATATATTTCTATTGAGCCGATAGCCTGTGTTGCTAGTGCTCAATGTCTCTTTTTTTAGTCTAAGAATTCAATTCATTAGTCTAAAATTAAAATAATAATAATAATATTGTACAAAGAGCGTTAAACAAAAAATAGATTTGTAAACAAGTGTCCTTTGCACATCCTACCAAATATCCGTTGAGCAGTATAGTTTTCAAATTATTTATTCTCATAACCAGAGAGTTAAACATAAAAAGATGTGTTTTTAGATTTTTTTGTAGTCTCCGTCGAAATATGGCATTTTGTTGTTTTTCACCTATTTCGCTAGCACTTGTTATCTGGCTCTTGTAGAAAGCCAGATGATATTACAGTGTAAAGCAATCTTACCTTTGTGAAAATAACAAACTAAACGGAACAATGTATTGAAAGTAGCACATAAAATGCTTCACCTGAGTACAAAGGATTGTAAACAAAGAAATAATTTTATCTCTTGTTAAATTAATATTCTGCAGACTACTTTTCCAAATTAGATTAAAAATAATTAGGAGCAAAATATTAAAAATTGTTTACTTTAACAAAATTGTAAGAATTTTAACTTTCTTTGAATATTTTTTGGAGTCTTAGAGCGAGTTACAAGCTATTTCTTTTTTAATGTTGTTAGAAACTTTTGAATGGAATTTTCGTACAAAATAACAGATAATTGCGCTAAGCTACGATAAAGAAATTGTGTAAAATTCTTCAAAAATAAAATATTGCAAACCATTACCCGCACTATTATTAAATTTACTCACGAAAATTATCCACTTCACCGGTGGCAATTAAGTTATTGTTTCTTCTTCTTCTTTTGCGAGTAAGCAATTTAAAAACCAAAAAGCTTGCGGTTACGAAATGTTTTTTTTATTTAAAAATTTCCATATTAGGGCATTGGGGGACTTTTACCGACGGCTTTGCAATTAGCAAAAAAAGTCCTACGTGATTTCTGTAAAGTAGCAAAAGTTACATTCCCCTGTGCTTTAAAGGTCGGTTGCAAGCTTTGCTAACTTGACAATAATTTAATTCTAATTTGCAAAGCCGCCAGCTTTTTAACTGAAAGAATCCGTTAACGCAGCTTTTTAAATGGAACAATCGTTTTGAATAAAACTTTTCAAATAACCAGTCGTTTTGTTAGAGCGTTACAGCTAGCATTCTCAAAATGACCAAATCCATTTAGCGGACCGTATGTGATGAGTAGAATGTAAGACGTTTCAAAATTCACCCCATGCTGTACACAATCAATCATTTTGCTTGTTTTAGTAAAAGAATTACTCCGCCTGTAAGAGAAAATCGAAAATAAACTTTGTTTGTGTGAAACTTTGTATTAAATGGAAACTCGAATTAAAAATAATTGTTTTTAGGTTTCAAAAAACTATTTAATTATAATTTATATTCAAATACAAAATTATGATCAAAATATATTCTACATATGTATTCCAGATACCTTCAACTTACATGAATTATGATCAAAATATTGGACAGCGAGAACCTTGTAAACCTTAAAGAAAATTCTGAGAAAAATTTATCTTTTCCAACACTGTCATTGAGTTTTTTTACATTAAGTTTCCTCTTTTAGTCAATGTACGGAGAAGAGAAAGAACCGAACTTAATTATGGTAAAGATATAATATTATAATAATTAAGATTATATTATATTAATTTTCTCTTTTATGTTTGCCGGCGAATTTCCGTTTATATACTTTTACATTCACAAATGTACTTCAATTTCCTTTGCTACTGTATTTTGTTTTTCAATAAACAGATGTTCAATTCTTGTTCTTCTTTTGGAAAAACTATTGTAAATGCGAGATGAAACAGTTTGTCTAATCTGCACTTATATCTCTGTTAGGTGACACAAAGTCAGTTGTAATAAATAAGTAAAAAACTGAGTAAAAAAATATTAGGAACACAATATTAAGAAAAAGACGTTATTTTCCTATTTTTTATTTTGGTAGAAAGCTAACAGACCTGCTTTTATTGTTTAATAACAACGGATCTTTATCTATTCTTCTTCTTCTTCTGTACGGTACTAACCCAACAAAAGATGACACACTGTGTTGAATGTGTAAAATCTATTGTATTAATGACAAAATCGCACTTTTTGAAGTGTACATTTAAGTAATTTTGATAAATTTTCGATGTTATTTTTGCACAATTTTTAATTATATAAATATATTATTAAATAGTTATATTTTTAGGTATATAATAATTTTAAATTAGAAAAGCACATGTCCTAATGTAATTTTTCATTTCATAGGGGATCAGACGATAAGGTTAACTGGTTATGCCCATCTGATTTGATATTTGCCGGGCAATGCGACATGTGCAATGAGCAGCGTGAGAAAACACGCGGGAGAGAACAAATTTCCGAATTGTGTGTACTTAATTTTATTATGAAACTGTGTGTTCACTTATATATAAAATTGAAATTCGAATGTTTTTGATTTAGAATCAATTGCATTTTGAGAGCGACAAAAAAATTTATATAAAATGATTATTTTTTCCTCTATTTTTATGTATATGCATTCTCAAAAAGAAAATTGATACAGTAATGAACATATAAAATAAGAGAGTAAATTAAGAGAATCGAAGATGAAGGTTACTCTTAACTGTAATTATATAGAAAATTATATAGAAACAAGGTGGCGAAGAATATTGAAAAAGAAAACCAATTTATGATATCTTGAAATATATATTATTAGACGTTTATTTAATTAACATTTTCAAAAAAAAACTTTTAAAAAAAGGATGGAAAGAACTTGCGATTAATGCGATTAATTACTTTCTTCACCAGAATATGAGTATATACATATATTTTCCGTTTATAAGACCATGCATGTCGTAAGATTCGAACATTTGTTATTCGTAATTTTCGTTTGTTAATATTCCGATGAGAGGGGGGTAGTCACATATAAAAAATTTATGTTTCGACTTTGTATTTAGCGATTATCCCCACGAATTTAAATCCTATTGTCTTAAATTAAATTAATTTCACATCATAAGCTCAATACATTTCTGTAAATAATTTAACGCTAAACCCTCTAAAAATTACCTGTAATATTTCAAAGTACGTCGAAATTGAGAATAAAGATCTTCAGCATTAGTCTGCAAACGCACGCGTAAGAACAAATACATTCCATACATCTGCCTTTTATTTTTCAACCATTACTAATGGTCACGTTATTGAAGAAGAGAATTTATTGGAAATGAGATTCGGTTAACTGAATTGTTATAAATATTTCTAGTTAATATTTTACTTTAGTTTACTTTTTAATATTTTTTTAAAGTAATTTTTCTTTAATACTTAAGTGTGCGGTTGATAACTTCGCCGAAAATCATTATTCTATTATTAGGTCGAATCATAAACTGGAAAAATATAGTCGAACTCGTAGCACCCTTACAAATACATACAAAGTTCTGTTCGATAATAACAAATAATATTAACCAATTTTTCAACGTGGACCATCAGTACAATATTGATAAATACGTCGTATTTAACTAAAGGTCCGATATTTTCTTGATTTATTTTTAATTGACTTTTATGCACTGAAATATGCAATGATTTTATTTATTTATCTATTTTTTTTTTGATTATTTTATTAAAATAATATACGCAATTACTAGTAGTCATATAGTAGATCACATATTTATTTCTTCGCTATTTCGAACTTACTTTTGCAGCCCATTTTTTTATAATTTACGCACAATTTAATAAAAGGGAAGGTTTTTACTAAGAAAAATAGATAACATTTTTTTTATAATACCAAATATAATTTTCTTTTGAAAATATGTTCTAGTTGATTAAATCAGCACCCTGTTTCCTTCTTGAAATTGTTTCTGTAATTAAGAGAGAGAGTTGGTTCTTAAAAGATAGACACAGAAATTAAACAAAGAGTAGCTAAATTGTTTTAGAGGAAATGCGGTTATTTTTCTGTTATGTTTTCAAAACGTACGATGCTGTTCTCTTTACTGTGTTCAAAGTATTTGAAAAAATTCAACTACAGTTCATTGAATAAATCACTCTCAGCATTTTAATCAAATTTTATAAATTTTCTAAGAGGAGATTTCTTTTGATTATATGGCACCATAGGGGATTGTTGGCATTGTTATTGTAATTTTCTTTGCCCGGAGAGGAGATTTTTTCGTTTGCTTACTACCGCTAGGGGATTGCTGGCATTGTTTTCATAAAATTTTCTTTTACTCTTGCTTGAAAAAGAGAGAAAGGCAAAGAGAGAGAGATACATCAGTGTTTAACAATGCTTATGAATATTATGAATAGAAAGAGATTTTCAGTCGCTTTCTGAATTTTGAACGATAAAGATGTGTAAATGTCGGTCGGTACGTGTTCGTATTTCTTTACTCCAAAAACAACACACGGTTAATGTTGTTGTAGTAGTTGTAGTACAACTGTCTATACCTATATAAGTATAAAGTAAAGCAGCACCAACAACAAATACTACTACAACATCATGGCAAATAATTTCAAAAACAATATCACACACATATAAAAATTAATTAAAAATGGTATATAAAAAAAATAAAAGAAAATTCGAATGTATATATATATATACGTGTGTGTGTGGGTGTGTGCGTACGCATCTGTATATGAAATAAAAACAAATTGTTAAAATTAAATAAAATCAAGAGAAGTGAATGTAAAATATACAAAAAAAGAGAAAAAAATTAAAGAAAATTACAAAAAAAAATAAAAATTAAATAGAAAAGTGAAGAAATATAGTTGCATAGCTTTGTTTTATTATTAATTTTAAAGCAGCAAAACAGCAATAACGGAGCCGAGAAAGGTGTAGAGAGGAAAAAAAAGAGGTAAAATTTAAATCTATATATACATACCTATATTTATATATACATCTATATATATATATATATATATATATATATATATATATGGATATGTAAATGGATGTTTGTTGTGGGTATATATATATATAAAAACGAAAAAAAAAGAAACTAAATAATTATAAAATAAATCATATATCGTTATTCAGATAAATTAATAGAAATGTTTTCAAACAAAATTTGCTGATAATACATATCACCCTATATAAGGTGGAAAATTAATTATAATAATAAGAAAATAATCATTTTAATTTTTATTTTTAATTTTTTTATATATCATCTTTAACTAATGTGTGGTTCTTTAATTCCATCAAAATATTAAATTTCACAAAACAACACAAAATAAAAAATCAATATATATATTTAAACCTTTAGCAAATAAAAAAAAAAGAAGAAATTTAAAAAATTTTTCAATTAACTTCTCCAAAAACAATTGTGCATACTATTCTTACACATAAAAATAATTGGCTATAAACGTTTAACAATCGTTGCTAAAGAACCGAAGCACAGAAACGTGAGCTTTGCAGGTTTTCTCGATTTGTTCGCTTACAAAACAGTCCAGACCAGGAAATTCAAAATTATGTTACTAGCAAAACCTTTTCTTGGCTACTTTGGTTGCAGGTATGTGGATGATCTATTATTTTTGGTGACAATGTGAAATTCATAAAATAAGAGAATTAGTCTAAAAGACCTATGGAATCGACTAAAGCCGTATATATCTCATATTTAATACTTAATAATTTTAAGCCATTTACTGCAGGCACGGGACACTTTAAACATGTTTAATCGCTCACTTTGTGAAATTTTTGATTAATTGTCTTTTCCATAGCCCGTCCCTAGATAGATAAAGCCGTCTTGCTTATTTTTGTTTAGCATTCTGAAATTTCACAGTCAAAAATCCCCAGGAAACTTACAGTATATTACAGATTATCGAAATAGTATTCGCAGCTAGAAATGATAAGCAAAAACATGCATTTTGGGCCCTTCCCATGAACAGCATCATAGCGAACATTTTTTTGTGGGGTCTCCGAAAGTTAAGAGATTTTGCGATTTATCTGGAATAGGATTTTATATATGGGCCCTTTTTAATTCCGCTTTATTTTTAATTATCACAATAATTGGCATGAAATGAAATGGAGACGAAATTGTGGGAAAAATTGTTCCCTACACCAGTATGCGCTCAACATTTTCGGTGTTAACGTTAGGTTATGTGTGAAGAATCTCCTGCGCCAGGTTCACTTTTAATGATCGACCATGCAAGTGTAAGCATAAAAATCAGATCAGAATTTCGGTATTGCCAAATATACATGCATCTTGATTGTTTTAAAAGAATATTTGGGGCGAAAGTGTAAAGGTTCGTAAACGGCATGGATAGGACAAAGACAGTTGTTTTCCATTGGAAAAGAATAATAGCCTAAGGCAGATATGCTCATGTCTCTCAATTAAACCTTGACACTTTTTCCTTTTAAGAATTATGGGCAACAAAAAATTTTTCTTCCTCTGGCCAGCCACTCAGGGCAGATATGACCTTAATCTGGAAGGAATATTGGCATCTGATTAGGACGATTTGTTGGATAGTCGTAATTTGGTGGTAAAATTTCTTTCATTCCTTTGGAAAACTTGATCTGCATATACCCACACAATACAGTCTACGTTCTGCCGATGCTGGAAAACATTGAGAGTTTGAGTCGCACTCTCATCACTCATGAGAACCTGAGCTCTTCGCTATACCCTGCGCAGCCAAGATCTAGGCACTCCTGCCCACGCCTGCGAGCTGTAACTCTATTTTAGACCGGATGTAGGTGGTGCAGACATCAGCTGTAAAAAGCTAGACCCTTGACCGAGCTTTTATGTTTGCCCATTTAAACTCCATACCCGCTAATTGTGACATTTTTGAAGGATGTAACTTCTATCGCAGGGGATATTTTTTATGACGGATACAGCTTAGCTTATAGAAAGCGACCTACATCTCGAAGCGGTCTTCTTAATTTCTAAAGTCTCTATTGCTAATTTCAACATGTTCATTACATTCAGATGGTGAATATAAAAAGTTTTTATTTAATTAGTGTTAGTTAAGAAAATTCATTTTCATCTCCTCGAACGGCAACGCATGAATTTTCTTCCATTAACCACAGAAAAGCGTGCTTCTGCTAATCTTGTAAATCGAGAAAAATTACAAATATATGGGTACATGTGTGTATTTATGCATGTACATATAAATGTTTGACTGTCATTAGATTTGAAACCATTCGTAAAAGCTAACATTGCGAATTGAAATTTGATTCTATTTATATATTTATATATATATATATTTCACAACTAAGATCAAGCTTTTAAAAATGACTTAATTTTGTCTAAAAACATGCTCGTAAATAGTATTAGGAAAATTAACCGCAAAGGAAAACCTAAAATTTCTAACCAATAAACTTGAACTTAATGCGGATATTAAGATGAAATTCGTTCATGGCACAAAATAATCGCCGCGAAATGCACAAATTTTGTCTGACCGTCATTCCAACTATAAAATGTGTGATTTCATTTATGGCACTTATGACCTAAACATGGGATGAACTTCATTGTGGAAATATGTAGATAATAATTCAATTGCGAAAGCGTTTAACATCGAATTTATTATGCATTACCGTTAATCAGTTAATCAGTTGGTAGAATTAAGGTTGCCTTGAAAGGAAGGTGAAGTGGAGAAAAGTTTCTAAATATTCTAGAATGCGTTGAGTCAAGACGGGAAAAATTTGTGGAAATTAATGTAAAATTTAAATTAAATGAACAAATTCATTTTCCGGACATGTCAATATGTTGAAGGGTTATCGCCTCGTCGAAAATATATGTAATGTATGTACACGTATATTAGATCATTAATGTCAAGAAGTCATTAGAGAATCTTCCAAATGATCAAGGGACCTCTTCTATAGGATAGTATTGCTAGCAGCAATAAGTACAAGGCTACCGGAGGGACTGCAAGGACTCTTTATTATATGGATATAAACTTGTCTGTATGTCTTCCGTTCAACCTCGAGGACGCAATATTTAAAATATTTTAATAAAATTTGTTAAATTGATGTGTTTTGGCCCAAGGGCGGTGCGGTTCTTTTTAACCATTTCCCATACCACGCCTTGTTTTGAAAAGTCATTCTGTTAGTCAATGCACTTATTAAAAAAAAAAAAAAAGGAATTGTAGATCCGGAAGATTCGAAGGATAGACGAAAAAGAATAAATTCAGACACAATTGATTTTGGAACATTATATCTCGACACATGTTGGCTAATTAGTAACGCATGGACTCTACTTACAGCAAATTTGAGAGCTATTTGGAATATATCTGAAATTTGTACATTTGTAAGACACATTTCCTGAGCAAGAATATCGTAAAGACGTAAAGCCGAAACAGTAAATACCACCAGACGAAGCTGCTTCCTCTTTACACCTACTTTCCCAAAATTGAACAATTAACCGTTGTGCCATGTCTTCGGAAATGAGGTCGAATGGGGATTGGCTGACCTTTTTAAGACACGGTTAGCGGAAAACTTTAAAAATTTATATATAAATGATGCATTATTTTCTTTATTATTCAAAATTTTACAATTACAAAATATTTTTCCCATAAAAAATAAATAAATTCGAAATGGTGATCACACGCGTACTGAACATTTTGGTTAAAAAGGGCATTAATTATTTCTATAAGAATCGAAAGTGGAGGAATATTCCAAATGAATGCTCAATATGATCTTTTTTTTAAACCAAATTTTAAAATATTTAATTAAATTAGTTAAAGTAAACTTCTCTGTTTTCTTATAGGTCAGCTGGTGGAGATTAGTGCAACACTTAAATAATAATGCAAAAAAATAAATAAATACTAAAAACTCCTTAGAGATTTAACAAAAAAAAAAAAAAAAATCCACACATAAATATATATATATATATACATATATATATATATAGAAATATATATAAAAAACAATTACAGTGAAATGCATCAAAAATCTAACACAGAAACGAGGAAAAATACGTTAAAAAGAAAGAGGAAAACTTTACAAAAAATATTAAAAATGCTAAACGGTTCGATATGTGTAGTGATAAAAGAGAGATAAAAAAAAATAAATAAATAAATAAAAGAACAATTGTGCTTAAATAAAATTTAATTAAATTACCCAATTGGATTAAAAAAAAAATATGTAAAGAAAATGTAAGCATTCCGTACTTTCTTCAATTTTCAAAACATCTTTCAAATAATTTATTTTGTTGAAACGTCAATTAATACTTTGCACAAAACTTTTTATTTTGAGCCATAATTTTATCAGTAGTTTGCAGTAAGAATTTTTAGTGAAAAAAAAAAGTGTACTCTTGACGTTAGTGGAAAAAAACCAGCGCCCCAGAAAATTCTACAAACAATTAAAATAATTTTTCTTTTAAAATATTTGCAAGAGAATAGGAAAATATGTTGCATTCATTACAGAAAAACAGAAAACACAAACAAAGCAAGCGCTTCGTAAGCAACAGCGCTAAGCAAGCACCACACACCAGGCAACGGATGATGAATAAATGAAAATGGCACCTAAGCAACGTTGAATAACAACCGAGCTATATATACAAATTTATATACAAGTATATTTATATATATATATACAATTTGTGTGTATATAGTTAATGTATTGAATTAAACTACACCTTATGCAAAATTACACATCGTCATCATCATTTAGCTACAAAAGCAACAACGAAACTATAGCACAAGGTTTCTCACAAATGTTTGCTTATAAACAAACATTCATGCATACATACCTACCTACATATAATAAAAACAACTTTAAGAAAGCAACAGAAATAAAGAAAAAAAAAAAAAAACTGGCTTTACTTAAGTTTAAAAGGTGGAGGTAGCAGAGTAAAATATATATACATATAGAAGTAACTATTCATACATGTATGCAGGTGTTAGTGCATGTATATGCTTT